GGCCGGACTTCGGTGTGCCTCCGGCCGCCCTGGGCAAGAGCGCGCTCCCCGCGATCATTCTCTTGAGATCTGCGGGTGTCTCATTTTCATCACTCCCATTTCACAGATGAGAAAACTGAGGTTCTGAGAGGTGATGACTGGACACATGGAATACACAGCGATAAAGGGATTCGCGGTGTTTGCATATCAGACACAGATATTGCTAAGGGGAGGGCATCATGGAGCTTGCCTATGGGGTGGGGTGAAACTACCAAACGCAGTGGCTGCCACCCCGTGAGGCTAATCTGCTGCCTGGTGGACCCTTGCCATCGCTCCACAGAGAACTTTGTGAGCCAAGGAGCAGCTGAGGGAGAAGTCCTCTTCTGCTGCCCTGAGCTGGGCATGGGGGTTGTTAGGTATGGGGACCCTTGCAAAATTAAGAGGATCCACAGACAAGTTCAGAGTAGGTGGATACTATTAAAAATAGTGATCACTCAGGGTGCCCTCAGCCATAACCTGGACTAGGTACTTGGTACCGTGTTACTGAATCCTGGCACTGTGAGACCCTGGGACAGCTCCTTAATCTCCATATGCCTCAGTTTCCTCCATCTATACAATGGGGAAATGGACACGTGTCTCATGAGATGTCGAAGAAATTCAGGCGAGACAGTTCTAGTTAAAGCCTATGAGTGTCAATTATCATTAGTGTTATTTTAGATAAGGAAGCAGAGGCAGGGAGATGAAAGAGCTGACCTAAGTCACACAGCCAGGGAGCAGTGATGAGGTCACTCAGCCCAGATCACTCTGAGGTAATGCCTGGTCTCTTCACCATGGTTCTGAACTTGGGGTCTGAGCCTGACTAATGTGTTAGCCCAGTTCACATCTTGCTCAGGATCTCCAGAGCAAGAACAGTATATGTTAGGTATGTTTTGTGTGTGTCTACAAGGAGAGGTCTTTGAGGAGTTTCAGAAAAGATGGGTCCTGCTTAAGACTTGGTCCCTGGAGGAAGAGGAGAACAGGGTCCCCATCTCCTTCCTTCTAAAGGCAGTGATGAGGGTGAGGAAGGCATAAAGAGATAGGTGGTGTTGCCTACTGGTGCTGAGCCCCAGGGCATGTCCCAGAGGAACCATCCACCCCTACAGTCCAGGCCAGTGGTTACAAGCCTTTGTGATCTCTCCAAATCCTGGGGTCCTGGCACCCATGGTCTTCTAGTTGCAAGACCCTCACATGGACCATGTCTCTGTAGAGACTGGGCTGACTGTCAAGGCAGCCAGACTGGAGGGAATGGCCCCACTTCTCAGCCAGGCTAGTGAAAGGAACTGAGAAGTCCAGGGTGAGCTGTTTTCAAGGTCCCTAGATCTGATGCCAAAGACTAGAAGTGAGGACAAGAACTGATGTCAAACTGGAACCTACAATTCAGGAATAGAAACATACCTAAGAGACTTCCAGACCAGACCCTGGAAACCACTTTGCATCTGTGAGCAACTAATCCTCTTATCTAATCCTGTGAGGTCCTAGGCTCCATATTACAGATTAGTAAACTCAGGCTCAAAGAGGACCAGAGACCTGTCCAGGGTTCTGTGGGCCACAAGGTTTCTGAACTGGGAACTCAGATACGTGCCAGAAGAGGAGAGCTGTTTCTGAAAGCAAATTGGCATCCCACCCTAGGTAACCATTGTGGGTACTCTGAACTTGATTTACCTGATGAAGGTGACGTGTGTAAAATGACATGTCAGCACGACTGCACCTGGGCAGGTTGCTAAGGAAGCAGCAGGACTGTTTGGTGTCCTCCGTGAC